AACTACTCCAAGAGCACCACCAATTTTTTTCGGTAACACAAAATTCTATTGGCCGAAATGTAGTACAAATTTTATATTCTTAATCGTGATTTTCGGTACTACATTCTGACCAATAGTGTTTTACTATGTAGCAATTACGAAGTTCAATTATCATTATTACATACTGAAACATTTAATTGTTGTGTTACATTTAAATCATTTTACTTATCACCAGTATATAATAAAAATATTAGTTGAAGTAAAAAAAAAATTCTTGTTTTGCGAAATAACGAGTGAATTTTTAATATGCACAAGTGTGATCGATGTTCCAAAAGCTTTGAACAAACTGCTTTTATCAGTAAAACCGGAAAACCTACAAAAATATGTTATGAATGTCGGCAAAAAAATTTAAATACCTACTATGCTACAAAACCTAATGAAAATGTGTCTTACGATCAAGGTCCTATTGAACCTAATGAAATGAAAAAAAAATTATTTGAACATATTCTTAAGATTGGAAATAATGAATATGTTGAAAATGAAAATTCCAGCATAGATTTTTCGTGCAAAATATCAACTGTTTTACTAAAAAGTGAACCCCATGAACTTGGAAAAAAAATTGCTGAAATCATAGGATCTGCCGATGGATACTATTATATGTAAGTAATATATATATTTGTCAATAATAATAATAAAATAATAATACGTATGTAATAATGATAATATTTATTTATTTGTAGTTATCATAATGTCTATAAGTCTGAAAAAGATCATAATAAATATACGTTTTTATACAATTGTTCTCAAAGTTGCACATTAGCTAAGCATCCACGAAAGCATGAAAATTTCCATAAACAGCGTGATAGAGGATATATTGAACGATTTTCCTGTAATGGTACTTTAAAAATAGTACTTAATATGGAAACAAACATAGCAACAATTGATCTTCAGCATAATTTACTTCATAAGCGTCCAGATCGGTTTAATACATCTGATGATATTAAAGCTGAAATAAAGAAGAATATTCATCTTACACCCGCAGATATTTTTAAGCAATTGGAACAACAAAATCCAAACTTAACTCAAAAACAAGTTCACGCATGGTGGTCCTATTTTTTAAAAAAGGAGTATATTTGGGATGAGAATGATCAATTAAATTCTGCAAGAATACTTGTTGAACAAAATAAATGCAAGATCGCTTTGTTCAATACTCAAAATATTCAATATTTGGGTTTTGTGACATCATTTTTTGATTTATTAAAAAATAATTATGAGATCGTCGTAGATGCCACATATAAGACCAATGTTCTAGAATATGAATTATATGCAGTTGTCAGTCAATACGATGGATCTGGATTTGTACTTGCTTATTTGTTTATTGAAGGAACTAAAAAAGATGATGGTGCTCGTACAAGTATTTTAACATTATTCTTTGAATCCTTATTTAATTTAGGATTAAATAATATTAATTTTTTCCTAACTGATAAGGATTTCGCACAGATTTCAGCAGCATTAAAAGTTTGGCCAAATTCGAAAATTCAAATTTGTTTTTGGCACATAAAAAAATCGCTTAAAAAATACCTTGCTGACAATACATATCCAAAAAAAATTAATTATAGTTCATATTTAGCGCATCAGGAATTTGAGTTCATTGATATCGAATTTTATCCATCATTACCGTCACAAGTAACTCAGGCACAAAAAAAGAACTTTTGTTTTTGTCCTAAAGAATTGCATCCTAAAGTTATAGAAATGATGGAACAACATATGCACTTTCATTCTTTAATTCCAAATATTGATGGATTTTATTTAACAGCAAATCAAATTTGGGAACAATCGACAAAACAAATATATGAATTTTGTATTCACAA